ATAGGATAAGAGTGGACCTTAAGATTTGGTCTAAAACTTTCAGTTTGGAAATAAATCCACAAGCCCAATTCCCGGACCTCTTCAATGCTGACCCCGTGCAGGCCAAGTTGTAACGCGAGATCTTCCAGGTTGGTTTGGGCTGTCGCTGCTGCCACCAGGGGATGGCGAGGCCATCTACCCTCCCGAACACAATGCTTGGTTTCACGCTTTCGACCCTGCTGCATGCTGTCTGTGTCGTTGCTCGCACTGCTTCGCTTTCTCTTTGTCCCTTTTCGCATGTTGCTATAAGTAGAACTGTGCGAAGGCAACATCTCCACATCCATTGCATCAAGCTAGGTGCAGCCCAGCTAGGGGGCAGATTTTGAGCCGTGGTGCCTACTACTACTACTACTACTACTACTACTAGTGTTACTACTATTACTACTGCTACCACTACTACTACTACAACAACTACTACTACTATTACTACTACTACTACTACTACTACGACGACGACGACTACTACTACTACTACTACTACTATTGTTATTTTTATTGTTGTTTCTTTTATTCATATTACTATTAGTACTACTAGTACTACTAGTACTACTACTACTATTGTTTCTACTCTATTAACACTTTACCATTTCTGCTATTACTACACTGTACTACGACTAGTTTTTGCGTGCTAGTATAATGCTTGTTTGGAGGTGTCTCCCGCATGAACAGTGTCCAACGTGTGTTGCCCGAGTTGCGAAGAAGAGCGCTTATATTTTTGGTGCATAACATGGCAAAACAAGAATGATTGTTTGCCAGTTGCTGCTTCAAGCATTCGGAATGTTTGCTCGCAAGCTTCAAAAAAGGGCCATGATCGTCCCCTGAGTCGGGCTTTGTCAGAGGCTTTTTGTGCGGCATACCTACCATCTCAGAGCTGCAATATGTCCATTGTTGCAAGAAAAAGGATTAGCAACTGCAAGAGTCAAAGAGCAGCTTTCATGCTCACCGGCCCAACGCTGTAAGTTCAGAATACCTCAGTAATTGAAAAGTGGACCTGCCAACGACCTGGCCAAGCTCTCAGAAGTTCTAGAAGCGCGTGAAGCTTAGCGTGTCCACGGTTTTTGGAGAAGGCTTTTTTCTGCTCTTGGGCTTCTGAGACGGAACAGAACATCCAAGCCATGTTCCCCAAAGAAAGTTCTGACATCTACCCTGCAAAGCTCTTCAACACAACCTGGATGCAATTTACGAAGAAACGCTGATTGCAAGAGCTTACTACTGCACGGTGAATATTGCGTTCCAAGCCAGTCAAATCACCAACATGCTCGGAACATGTTATATTGAAACCAATGCCACAGCTGTAACCACACCGCGAACATGGGGCAAGTCAGTACACGCAAACAACTCTGCGGGAGTCTCTTAGGAACATGTATCAGCCAAATCAGTCCAGATTCTCTGCAAGCTACCACCCACAAGACCCCTGTCAAAAAAATCTGCAACCTCATTGCGCTCTTGCGGCTTTCTCAAGAATGTTTTCTGCAGCCCGCTGCAGGATTTCCGCTGCCTCTCTGGATTGTCGAATGTGTACATTCTGGAGGTGTGTATACGTAAGAATTCACATAGGTACAGCAAAATCTTCAGATCTGCGAACAGCAGCCATGCCGCATCAAGGCTGAACAACACCAAAACTACTACTGAATTAAATCATTGCGTTGATAGTATCGACTTTGCAGTCTCTGCGCACAAAGACCATGCACAATCTCTGTTTTGTATTCCAGGAAGCTCTAACAGGGGTCTCAAGTTGTGTGAGGATGCCCAATACGATCAAGATCATTGGAGAGAGTGTGAGACCACAAAACTCTTAGCATGAAGTCCATGTTCTTTCTTAGGGCATCTTAAACATGTTCACGGCGCTTCAAGCCACAACACGACACGGACACGAAGCTTGCGTCGTTGCTGAAAAATGCAAGAATTCTTGTGTTTTTCTGTCTTGGAGACCATTTCGGAGCATCAAATATCTGGAACAAGAGCCAGTCTGCAGTGTAGCGTTGCAAATTTGAAAGAATAAAGTAAGGTAGCACTTTTGTCTCAAGCGGCAGAAAAACGAGATGCAGGCAGATAGCAGGTCGGACAGCCCGGACCTGAATCTGCTGCGCGTGAAACTTCTGATGCCCGAAAGTTCGGCCCTTAAAGCGGACGGAGGCAAGCAGAAAAGAAAGCTACAACAGATAGAAGAACTACTCTAAAGTACGCAGGCACTCGACCGGAACCTACAAATCCAGTTCACCGACAGCAAGGAAAAGCTGACTGCGAACCAAGGCCAGTGGATCACGCGGAGCCAGAATACTGCACGCAGGCAAGGTGGACAGAGTACCCCTCAAAGGGGCCTCCCTTGGCATAAGCCACACAGTGGCCCTAACTACCTACCCCTGTAGGGCTGCACCGCAATTCCTTTGCTATCCGATCCTCTAATTTCTCCCCCCGCCAGAGGTCGCTTGCACGACCTCATCGCAGTATCTTTCCAGGGCCCCGCAGACGCATCGCACACCGTCTCAGCATCTGCAAACTGGCCGGATAGCCATCACCCTGCAACTTCCGCACCGCATGCAGTTTTCGGAGGCAAGCAATCCTCGCAGAGCAATAAGGGCACTGGCAAGCAGAACCCCGCATCGCAAGGCAAGGGCCTCAGACTACACACCGCAGAGCAGACCACGTCCTTCATGGCACGACATGTCGCATGAGCCGCAAGCCGCTGAAAGCAACTGGGACCAGACGCACTACACCGCTCCTCGAGCACATGCAGACCATGACCCCTGCTCTCTCTCTCTTGCTGAATGCTTTTAATCTGCACTTTTGCGTGCCCGCAGCATGTCTGGCAAAGGACCCTTCTTTCTGAAGCCCTGCGAAGCGTCTTGCGGCATTTTACTTGCCAAGCTGAAAATGGATCGTCACGAGCCGCAGATCCATTTCAAAAATCTGCACCCCGCCAGGAACACGGTTTTCTAGAAGCCAGGGAAAACGGTCGGAGATGCAATCTTGTGTAACGTACATGCAGCGTACAAATTTGTATTGATTTAAAGGTGCAAGAGTTCTTGAATCATGATGTTGCTGAAAAGGATACGATCTATCATGGGCTGTTAGGATGCAGTCATATTGAAAGAAAAACATTTCGTGACCATTCCAAGAATTGCAATCGTGTTTGTCATTTTCACTGAAAAACATGCAGGTCATGTACCGTGATGATGCAGTGAAGCTGCATGAAAGTTCCGTATCTGCGATGCGCTGCAACGCTGTGACGTCACAAAAAAAGCAGCCGATTCAGGTGGATGCCAAGTTGAACCCATGCGCCGTGATCATGTAATGATGTACGGTTTGTCATTTTTCCGCTGCAATGAAGATTCATGACGTTTGCTGTGATGTTGTGACGCTGCGCAAAAGTTTTCATGAATCTTTTTTTCATGCAATGATGCCAGTGTTGAACAAAACGAATCCATTTCGGTCGTGTCCTGATGTTGTGACTCACGAGGCGGCCCGCGCCGGCACCTGTGCGGCAGCTGCGGGACTTCAACCGCGCACCGCCGGCAAAAAGCAGGGGTAGAGGGCGGAGCAGGTTTTTCAGAGAACTCAACTGAACATGCTGAACGTTATGGAATGAGCACAGGGGAAGAGTTCGTGTGAACTGGGCATAAGCTTGTGACAAGAGGCTGTCATTCGATTTGGTGAATCGCACGAAAGGACACATGTAGGCCTTAGCAGTGTACCCGCTGCAAGCTTTCAAGCGCATTAATGAACTGCAGACCAGTAACCTTTCATTCCTAGAGGTTGCACAACTTTGCTGATGCTTCTTGCAGCCCACCCCAAATTGCGCGCTTCTGCTCAACAAACTGCAGCAATGAATGCTTTTTACCACGGCGGATGACAATCATGAATCGGATGCTTTGGTCAACGATTTGTTATCATCGCAGCACCAAAAACAACAACCATCACGTATCATCACATGAAAATGATTATTCGAACGCTTTTCATCCAATATCATTGCATTGCGGCACATGCGCATGACAATCCGAGTGCTTTACACCGAATATTTTTCCTGATCGACATATGAACAAATGGAATTCCGACACGCGTTGCAACACATAAATGTCATGAATCCAACGCTACAGCATCATCACATGAAAATGATAAATCAAATCGTTTTTGCTCAGCATCATGGCATCGCACAAGATGATGAACCGAATGTTTGTTTTCGTGCAACAAGCCGCCTTGGGCTGGACGCTGCCTCTGGGCACCGGCAGCGCGTGTTTCAGCAGTCTGTTGCTCTTACGGTCATGGAGTCAAAAGTCCGCCAGGTCTCTGGCCGGGCCGTAGCTGGGCTGGAAGCTCCGGTTGGCGTTCGTCCGCCTGCTGCAACCCGTCCGACGCCCCTCCGTAAGCGCCTTGTTGTGCTGGAACTTCTCAGCGTTGTCTTGGAGCACTCTGAACTGGATGGTGGGCTGGGCCTCCACGTCCTCGGGCGCGGCGTGCACGGCCTCGTGCGGGCACGCGTTGTAGGCTTCCGTGGCGTCGGCGACACCTGTTCTCAGGGCGTTTCTGCCAGTGCTCCACGCCCTGAGGCAGGTTCGCTTCCAGGGTGCGGAACTCGTTTCCCTCGTCGGTGGTAACCACGTAGTTGTTCTCGTCCTGTCGGGGATCGTATCCGCGGCAGCGTGCGCCACCGTCTCCACATTCTTATTGGGCAGCGCCCTAGTGACCGCCTTCCTGGTGAACACATCGGTACCACGAGGCCGTACTTTTTGGCGCTCCGCGTGTTTGCGAGAAGTCGATCAGATCCGGGGCTTCGGGGCCAGCATCTGCCTTGCCACATCCCTCCTCAAGGCGTCCGTTGCGCGGTTCACCGACGGCTGGCTGGTCGAGGAACTCGCGCTTTGAGATCTGGTACAGCTTCCCGGCGTCCCTCACGTTGAAGTCGCTGGCCAGCCGCCGCAGTAGGTTCAGCGCCGCCTTCTCAGCCATGCCTGGCCTTGGTCTTTGCCTTAAGCCTCGCCTCTCCAGCGCCTCCACCCGCGTCTGAAGCCACTTGCAGACGCCCCAGCACGGCGGTGAGCCGCGCGTAGTCTAGCGTCATCAGGTTCCGGTCCTCGTGTCGCGCGGTGCCTGTCACGCCGGCGCCCTCGAAATCCTGGGCAACAAAGCCCAGCCGGCTCTTATGCGGAACATCGGTGCGATAGTGGCATTGGGCACCCACTTTGTCGAAAATGGCCTGCAGCTCCTCCAGATCGGCCTCCCTGATGTTTTCCTTCAGCCTCTCGCGTCGCTCAGGGCGTTCAGTCCGTAGTGTAGGTGAGGTTGCCGTCCGTCTCCACGACCACCGGCGCGGCGCCGCTGGCCTGGTTCTGCAGCGAGATTTGCTGCCCCGGCGCGGTCAGGCTGCAGCCGCCGGCGCCGTCCACCTCCAGCCGCGCGAAGCCCGTGGGGTTTTCTTCAACGATAAATTCAATTCAAATAGAATCTCGAATTTCAGAATTCGAGAAATTATCAATCGAAAAAATTGAAAAATGAAATATGAAAAAATCTATAGATCAATAACTTCTTCAATGCGCTGGTGAATCTTGCTACATTTTTCCCCGGATCCTAGATCCTACATGGAGTCCCAGAGTCCAAATACAAAAGTCCTTCCGAAATCCCATGCCTGAAGTCCGGCAGTCTTCTGAAGATATTTCTCCGATCGAATCCCGATTCTGAAGCTTGCGCTCTACATGCTAGGAGGGATTGTCAGCGATTGTTCAGAAATATAGCATTGCCCCTGAAACTCAAAACCTTCCGTAAGTGCTATTTATAAGCCAAGCGAAAAATCTTACCCATTATATGAGCTTCCCACAAGGCTTCTTGACACTTCAGTGCAGTTCTGAAAACATTTTCCGATAAGGATCCATGTCTGTTAAATGTACCGGAAATACTGACCGTCAATTTCAAATTCAAAAAAGTCGTATTCATTTCATTTTCCTGTTGCTTTACCATTTGATGTTCCAGTAGATATGTGAGAAATAGACTGTAGCCCAATATATGTTGTTGGCGTCCAGCTGCAGGCGCGCCACGCCGCTGCTCGCCGTGTTCTTCAGCACCGCGCCTGCAATGCTTGAAGGGGCCAACTTGGTCACGCTGAGGATCCTGGTGTTCTAAAATGACCTTATTCCAAACCTCCCAGTGGTCTGAGTCCAGACAACTCCGCCGCACGAAGAGCAATGCAGACACGGTTACGGCCTGGTGTATGGGACTATCTGCTTAGGGCTGAGTATGAAAACCTCATCCTTCCAGACTAACCCTAGGCACTGCGTCTCGTTGGCCTCGATCTTGAGAAGGTCGTTGTTGCGGAGCCAGTCCATCACTCTGGTGCCGGTGGTCCCGCCCACCAGGCTCAGGTAGATCTGCCCGGCGTTGGTCGCCAGCACCGGCGTGGTGACC